TACTGTATGTGCCTTCCTAGAATATCTGACATGATTATAAAACATGTTTATTTTGCTAGTTATAGTAATCTGAAATCCTAAGGAATTATTTAGAAATTGATTCTTAGAAATGGAGTACAAGCAAAAAGACTGGGTAAGCAAACTTTGAAAGCAGAGGGAATCTCAGTATTCACAAGAGAAAAGGCAGAGAGCTAACTTTCCAGAAATTGGAGACATTAAGCAGAAGTGAGTTCACCAATCTCAAAGGTCTCCATCTGTAATGTAATTCCTACTGTGTTGGAGGGGCCTGGTTATTACACAGTACTCCTTGGAACAGCTAAAATGTTGTTTGGTCTTCTATACATGGGAATCTAATCATATTCCCAAACAGTGCTGCATTCCTGCAAAGTCCAAGGTTGTAGCACATTGTAGACAATATAGACTAGACAGGACCTAGCAGAGGTCATATTGGAAATGCTCTTCTCGAAGGATACCTTTCTTTCTTTGGTAAAGTTTGCTTGCTGTTGATGTCTTACTTTTTAATATGGATTTAGAGAGCTTTGGGGGATTTTGTAGGCAAAAAAAATTCTGCCCAAAACTATTGTCAACACCAGATTGATTTTTATTTTATTTTTTTGGTAGGCTAGCTGCCCAGCATTTCAGTCTTAAACTCTGGAATCTTGTTGTAGAATGTGCTGTATTTTAAACAAACACCCGGCAACTTGTTGTTCCTTGCAAGTGGCTAGTGTGGGTTAATTTGTCAGAGGCTAGCCTGTAATCACATCCCTTATGTATTTTTATATTTTTTTCTCAGACGTGTCCATATACCATATTGACTAGGTGCCATCTTACTACATAACTTTGGTTTTGCACGTTGCAGTATTTGCAGGGCCAGGTCTACTCTGAGTGCTTAATTACTATTCTCCACCCTTTTGTTCCTCACAGGTAACGGCAAACTTGCCAGCATGCCAGTTGGTGGAGCTGTAGCAGTCTCAGCTGGACCAGGTTCTGCTGCTCCTGCTGCTGGTGAGTATACGTTAAAATCTTAGTTCCTTAATTCCCATCATGTAATTTAGGAAGCTTTTCCTTCTTTTATTGTAGTTTGGCTTCTTGTCCTGAGATTGAAATATTAACTGACATAGTTTAGCGCTGAAGACCATCTCTGCACTGTACCTGGGAATGAACTGTTAAAGTGGTGTGCATAGAAGGCGGTTAGGTAAAACCAGCCAACCAGTAAGAGTTATACACAGTTGCTTGCTCCTCACCTTCATTAATTTGTTCTGGTTTAAGTCTATAGAGCCAAAATGGACCCTCAGGTATGTGTATGCAACTCCTGTGGATGTAATTGAGAGTTGTGCATGTCTCTGAAGGCAAAATTTGGCACTTAATCTTTAAACGTATAGGTTAAAAAGAAACTGAATCCGTTAGCACCGCACAGAGTAGATATGGAGACTAAAACTTAAAGGGGTGACTTGTGTCCATTTAATTGGAAGATATGCTTCCATGAAGAGAATGTGTTTTGGGATCTTCTCACACCTGCAATGTCCAAAATGTACTGTAAATATTCCCAGATGAGAGTAAACACTGTTTAAATCTTTTCTCTCTGCAGCTGAGGAGAAGGAGGAATCTGACAACGACATGGAATGTGGCCTATTTGACTAAACTTTTGCTACAGAAGCTAATAAAATATTTTGTTTAAAATGGATGTTGGGGTGTTTTGTTATAATAACCCTAATGCCCCTGGAGTTTTCATCTCTTGTCTAACAGTGATCTGGATTTGGGCTTTGTTTGAAGGGGGGAAAAAAAAATCTTAAGTAGCCTCGTTGCTTCTGCATGTTGGTGAAGCCAATTAAACTTATGCTCCTATATCACTTAGATGCCTTTGAAACCCCACCCTGAGGTACCTAAACATGCACTTGATGCTAAATCATGTTGTGAAGCCCAATGGGCAGAAAATCAGAATTAGCTTGTAAATTCTTCTGCATCACTTCAAAGCTAATTCTCCTAAATGATTATATTCTGTAAATGACCAAAATGGCACTGATTTCTTTGCCGATTTGGATCTTATTCCAAGACTTGTGCATTCCTTTCCACCTGCATATTGCCTACAATGCTGTCAGTAACACATTCTGTAGGGATTTCACTTCCATCTCCAACAGATCTCTAAAAGCAATGCATACCTCAACTTCATCAAATGTGCAAACACAAAATCTTAAATCACTTCATAGTTTTGATATCAATTACATTAGCAGTTCTCAAAGTGTGGGTTTTGACCCCATTTTAATGGGATTATCAGTGCTGGGGTTAGACTTGCTGGGGCTCAGGGCTTAGGCTTTGGTCCCCTCTCCAGGGGACGTGTAGTAATTTTTGTTAGAAGTGGATCGCAGAGCAATGAAGTTTAAGAACCTCTGACCACAGATTGACTGACTTGCATTCCATGTGTTTGGGAAGTTATTGTGGCTAACATTGCTGAAGTGAGGTATAGTCTTATGTTGTCTTGTCTACATACGGGTATAGCTGAGATGTACAACTTTGTATATTTAAAATGGTACAACTTGTCCACTAGAGGATGCAATTCTAGATTGGTATAAAGATTCTTATACCAGTAGAGCTTATTCCTGTATGGGAAGGGGAGTAAGTTCAGTGTAAGATGCCTTTACAGCTGTATAACTGCATCCACATTAGGGATTATATATGTATAATTTTCAGGAAAATATACCTCTAACCAACATAGTTATACTGATAGAAAAATCTGTGTGTAGACCAGGCTCAAATATGAAAGGCAGCATTGTGTGGGGGATAGGATTGTCAAGTTATGGTACCATTTTCAAAAGGTCTTTAGTAACTTGGGCCAGGGCCGGTGCAAGGAAGCTTCACGTCCTAGGTGAAACTTCCACCTTGCATGGCCCCCCACAGCAGCTCCCCACCCCAGCTCACCTCTGCTCCGCCTCCTCCCCAAGCATGCTGTCCCCGCTCTAATTCTCCTCCCAGGCTTGCGGTGCCAAACAGCCGATTGGCACTGCAAACCTGGGAGGCGGGAGAAGTGGAGTGGCGACCGCGCGCTTGGGGGAGGAACGCTGGTGTTTTGTTTGTTTTTGTTTTTAAATTGGGGGCACTGCTTTTTGGCACCCCCAAATCTTGGCACCCTAGGCAACCACCTAGTTCACCTTAATGGTAGCACTGGCCCTGACTTGGGCACTGAAGTTCCACTGACAGTCACTAGTAATTTAGGTGCCTAACTTGCTTAGGCACTCTTGAAAATCTTACCATTAGAGACCTAGGTTTCATGCATGCACCGTCCTTGCATAGGCTCTGTGCTAACTTATTTTAAACAGGGGGAATTCAACAGCTCTTCCTTGATTGCCTTCTAGGTTAAAGTTCGTGAGCTTGGCTAATATTAAGGATAGTTTAAATTGCATGGAAATTTAAACAGGTGGGTTTTGAAATAACTTCCTCTTTCCCAGCTCAGACCTTTTCTCTAGGTTCCCTGTCTGACTCATTTAAAGTAGGTTGGTTCTGCTTTGCATCTCTTTTCTGAGGCTAAAGTGTTATAAAATACTCCATAAACTGCTCAATTATCAGTTATTCATAGATAATCAGCATAAGATGACCAATATTGTGGTCAATGGACAGGCCCCCAGAGTGTTGGGTTTTTTATAAAAGGATACAAAGAAAAGAGTGGAAATTTGCCAAAAAGAGGTATTTTTTTAACTTTATTCTCTCCATTTTTCATCAGCCCTCTATGAGAAGATAAAGCAGTGCTCACAGATAACTGACTTTGGTTTTTGCCATTTCAATGAGATTTGTACAAAATAAAGGTTTTAAGTTCCTGTTGAACTGAAATCTGGGATGCAACCTTAACTGTGCAACAGTTCCACTGTAATAAATAACCAGTTTTTCCAGGGCCTGCAATGGTGTCAAGGCAAGATGTGTCCATAACAAGTGAACCCGGCATCAGTTTCTGGGTCGATTTTAAGACACGTAGCACCACTGTACATCTTATAGTGGTTGGACA